CAGTCAGAATGATTTTTAGGAAGTAAACATTTATAGTTTCTTATGATTTGCCTTAATATTTCGCCCTATAAACTGTAAATTCCTAAGGATCTCTTATCATAAGCCCAACCAAGAAGAGTCAACAGAATTTAGACAACACAGTCGTAGATGTAATATTCAAGATCAACAAGTTTTAACTTTTCATGCAGTTAAATTTATTTATTCTCAAACAAGGAAAATTATTAGCAAAATAAATGCAATTCTGCATATAAAACTTTGACTTTAAAAGAAAGCTTGGATAATTATATATGCATAACTAATTTTTCACTGTGTATACTGCAAAAATTGTCTAGATACAACAACAAAGGATGGACATCTTTAATGCAAATGCTATGTCATTCTGAAAACCTAGTGCACATGATGATGGAAAAAAACAGTGCTTTCAAGCTTGAGAGGAATACAAGGAAAGAAAACCGCGGATCTCGACAAATGCCCAGAAGTATTCCTTGAGCTTGAAAGCAACCAGATTGGTAGGCATCCAACGATAAACCGCAAACGTGCACAGAGAGATGAAACAGCGTTGACACATGAATAATTGAACAGCGTATTTAGCAAATAGTTGCAGAGAATGGATCGTTCCTTTGGCCGTGTCTTCTGCTTATCTTTCTCTTATTATTAGTTTCTCCCTAATTATATTCACTGTTTGCAATATACACAGGTGAGGAAAATTTGAAGTAAACTTAAACAAATACTAAAATATTTTCAGAAATATTATTTCTTTATATTAATACTATTTTAAAGGAAAATTGTGCAAATAATTTCCCAATTCTAAAATAAAATATTAAATTAAAATATTCTATTCTGTGAAATCTAAAACGACAGAACACACGAAACGAGGCGAAATTGGAAAAAAAATATTCACAAACATGAAACATTTGAAACACGTAAATAGATATACATATACGTAATTCATTAATCGTATAAATCAATTTAAACGTTTATCAACGACCCGTGCAAATGCGTACCGTAAATTGTTAAAGGATTAACACATTTCGTTAAACACGAAAATTGTTTTCAAACATAATATCATCCCTCATCGTTGCTCCATTTCTTCCCTTCTCATCGTTCCGTTGATCAACTTTTCTTCCATCGAGGCTATATATCTTCGCTCAAACATGACACTCTTCCACGAACGTCTTTTTGTCCTCTTTGACACGCCTTTCCACGGTCCATTTCCCGCGATTCATTCGAACAATTCCGTTTTCCGCTTGCGTCCGCCCGACGACTCTCGAGTTCCGCACGATCGTCCTATCACCGTGACACGAGTAACACGTGTTAGATCTCGTATGGATCTCAGCTCACGTCCTCGTGGACAACACTCGTGGACGGGTTTATTAAGTGAATATTGCTTCCATGCTCCAAGTTTCCGTCTAGTTCGACCAACACGCAATTCTAGAAACTCGACAACGTTTCGATCGCAATTGGTTGGACCGAATGAAGTTTCGAATCGAACGAGATTTTCCATATTTTCGTCGATTGGAAATTAATCAAGGAAAACGCGAATTTGAATGCACGATTTATATAGCAGAACAATCATCGTGTCGTTTAAATACTGCTCGAGAGTGCGAATTTTATTGTTCTGTTATAAAATTAAACTGATTGATGAAATTATTCAATCGAAGAGTATATTGAGACAATATGATATGTTTCAATGAATCATGGCGGTATATACTGATTGCATTCGTTTTCTGCGATATAATTGAAAAATGTGAGAATTATAATCGAATTTTCCAATCTCCTTTGACTTTTTACTTTTCAGCGATATTATTTTATTAAACATTTGTATTTAAACTCGCTAAAAAACGAATGAAGAAAAGGAGAGAAACGTTTGATCGCAATTTCAAGCTTGTTACAAATATAAATTTACGAATGATCGTGAGAAAGAGCAGATCGTAACACACGTGGCACATGTGATTCATCGAATTGGAATTGCAAAACGTGTGATTTGTTCGTTATGAAGGTGAGTATCGATTAATGAACTGCTCTGCGCATATTCGATGCAAATTAAACAGGTTCCTTGATAAATGAACAGTAAATTTGGCGCACCGATACGCAGAAATAACTAGCGTCACGCGAGTTTCCGATTCCATAAGAGGACAAGTTGATTGTTAGCTGTTCGATAAATAACGTTTAAACGTTCGATATTATTTGTTTTAACCAGTTGATGAATGACTCCCATCCTCTAGGCCAAAAATTCTCATTTTTCATACGAGCGAGGTTGATCAAGGGGAAAATCGCTTGTTATTCCTTTTCAATTCATGGGAACATTAGGTTCAATTTAATTTCAAATTCGCGAATTTTCGAGTGAAATTCGCGAAAAAACTGAAAATCGAGGCTGATAGGGAATCGAAATCACCGAAATGATCCATCTCATCTCTCGTCATCTACAATTCTGAAATTGAAATGCAAAACGTGGTGGATATTTTTGGAAGTGAACGACAGGATGAATTACGATCTTCGATCCTTCTTTGGCTTTTCGAATATAAATTCGAAATCATATTGACAGATTTCGCCGTGAAAAGGCGAAATTATGTCAGAAATTATTTAAGAGTGTGTTCTATTAAGGAATTCAAATTATAAAAATTCAAAATAATTTCTCTTTCGTATATTATTCCAGTATTCTTATTTTTTTTTTCTCAACTTGCCTATTATAAAGTTTTTCCATATCCAATAACGAGAGGAAAAGAAAATTTTACATAAGATTCTGGAAAAAATTTGTATGGAACGATTCTGGAAAATTTAACAATCTTTTTCGAAGTTTTTTTTTTTATACGGCATCAATTTTAAACTTTTCTAAATCATCGATTTTTTTCAACACGCTGTAGTACGTGACACTGGCTGGCTTTTATCGAGTCAACTTCGTTTCAGTTTTGTTTCAAGCAACCTTTCAATTTTTATTCATATCGCTCGACAAGTTTCCCGTTTGTTAAACAATTTTTGCCGCAATTAAATTAATCATAGCGAATGATACGCGAGATATTTTCAAATTTTTATAAACAAATTTGAAACATAGAAAATATCGTAAAATATATCAATCGATTCAATTTGCTGAAAACGATTGTGTTTTGTTATATTATTAAATCCTCGATAATTTTCTTTTGAAATGTTATTTGTCGATAGAATTTATTGTCTCTTTCTTTCTAAGAATCTCTTTCTGTCTAGAGAATAAAAAGAATAAAAAGTATTAGAAGGAACAATGATATTAATAAACTATTGGATTATTTTATACTTCTATTCACTTAATAATTAATCATTAAATAATTACACAAAAATATCTGCATTTCCATTATAAAATCCTCTAATCACAATGATAAATAATCAGTATACTTTCATCCATCGATGCAAAACGAGTGAAGCGACTGGAAGATCGACATGTTCCTGTTTCCAGAACACTTGGTACGTGAAAATGGGTCCGCGATTTTGCACGAGCATGGGCGTAGATGCGAAAACAATTAACAGAGGAAGTCAGTGCATGAATAGCATCTCGTAAGCCGCTATAACATGGATATTCTAATTATTCCGGCCCTTGTTCGTTTCGAAACGATTCGGTAAACGTCATTACGAAAGATTTAGAATATCGATTCTTGTAATTAGCATCCCTTGTTGACTATAAAATAGTTTATAAAAAGAGGAATTAAAATTCTCGAAAGTACGTAGTTTTAATTTTCAAGGAGCGAACAACAGCAAAATAAAAAGATTTAATCTTTATTATCCCCTATGAAGATAGTGGTGTCACGATGGCTCGTCGAAACGACAAAGAAATTAGGTTATGTCATTTTCTGGCAAAGAACTGTGCAACAGATAAAAATACCGGAAGATAATGAGTTGGAATTTGGTCCATAGTGGTTTCAGACAAAAAGTGTTATAAATTAAGCAAATTCAAGTAATGATTAACAGATTTCTAGTATTCTTCTGTGTCATATGGACAAGATCAGGATGTGATTCAAAGATAGAAGAGATGATCGTTGCATATTACTGAAAGATACTGGCAATATGAGCATGATGATGATTCATATTCGAAAACAAAGGCGACAGGTACGTCGAATAGAGATTGTAATTTGATGAAATGTTAAACAACACCGGTTTTGTATCATATAATTATGTTCTGGAAGATTGGCCAAGTTGTGATCGATGATCAATTGAATGATACTTGATTAGAGACTTAATTTTATCGTCGAGGAAATATTTTTTATTTAGTGATTCGAGGAAAAGTATTTCAAAACAGAGGAAACAGGAAAATTGAATTGAAAAAACTTGCTGAAAATTGATTAACTGATAAAAATAGATATTTTAAAGTACATCGAGTGGATATATATTCTATAGATAATAATTTTAATGAAAAATGTTTTGAATAAACATTAATTGACGAATTGATTTAGTTGTTTGATAAAGTGATTGATTGATTTTAAGAGGAGTATAATTTCACGTGAGTAGTTTTCTATGTAGTGGATATATGAAAGGTTTGCTTTTTAAATAAAAAATTAAACCAATCTCTCTCGAAATCAATCAACATTCACCTGAAACATTTTTATAAAAATCATTATTTACAGAGTAATCATCGTGATTCAGCAATTATTCTACGCTATATATTATTATTTATCATACCAGAATTCACAATATCGAGGATGCAAATAGGATACGGTTCTCTCTCACTTTTTGTGTATTTTAAAGATCTTTCTTTAGAGCATGATTTACTCTAGAAACATTATTTCTTATTCTAAAGAATATATTCCATCTTCCATCCTCCTTTAAAACAAGCAAATTAAGAAAATCTCACATCACCGAATATTTCTTTCTTCCAACAATTTTCCAATCAATCAAAAATGTTCAGAATCAAATTATAAATCTATAAAATAAATCTATAAATTTTAAACTGGAATTTAGGGTTACGAACATTTCTGTTCGCAGGCAGGTTTACACGGCCTAACCGGACATATCGAGTTCAACGAAGGGAAGCGTAATAACTTCAAGCTCGACTTGCTCAAATTGAAGAAGGAGGAGCTGGTGAAGGTTGGCGAGTGGAAGCCCGGATCAGGCGTTAACGTGACCGACGTCGGTGCTTTTTACGAGACCAGCGCCACTAATATCACCCTGGTCGTTATGACCAGAGAGGTAATTATCGCAATGCTCGTGTCACCGTTTGTCGAATTACTGTACATCACAGAATATTAACCGTGTATCTTAAAAGATCATAAAGCAATGTTATATCTGCAACGAATAATCGAGAAACTTGGAATAGAAGAGGAAGCGGATTATTACAGAAAATTAAAAAAAAAAGAAAATTGCTTATGAAATTATTGCGGTAATTTTATATCTGAGAATAATCCAAAGTCCTTTTTCGTCATTTAAATTGAAGAAAAACTTTAGTTGGCATACATTGGACTCGAAACTATCCTATAATTTTTATTAAAATCCATCACGATACGGAATATTTTTTTTAGATATATTATACAATTCGATCAATGTTAATATTCAATCGTTTAAACATGCCGAGTTTACCCGCGATCAATAAAGTTTGCTTCCACGAAAGAAATTAATTTCAGTCGGGAAGAAATCGTTGGCCGAGATACGACGATCTCATCCTCTCTCCATTTTCTAAGATGAAAGGAACAGGAGGGGAAGAAAAAGAAAGCGAAGTAGAGTTAGAAGTTTCCATCAGAATCGTTTGCATTAGTCCAATGATGCCGAGTACCGAGTACAGAGCATACCATCGATACCAGTTCTTGTCGTTGAATTTTTTCTATGGATAAAAGAGGAGTGTTTGTCCTTCTCCCTGTTTCCATCCTGCCCTTCTCCTCATCTGTATTCATCCGTGTCCTCGACACTCTGCCTCGCGTGATCCATCAAAGGAATCTTATTTCTCGCAGGAAAAACCATACGTGATGGTAAAGGAGGACAAGAATCTGACAGGGAACGCGAGGTTCGAGGGATTCTGCATCGATTTGCTCAAGTGGATCGCTAATCAGGTCGGGTTCCAGTACGCCATAAGATTGGTGCCTGATCACATGTATGGCGTTTACGATCCAAAGACCAAGGAGTGGAATGGAATCGTTAGAGAGTTGATGGAAAAGGTAAAGAGAAAGATCTTGAGAAATTTTATTTATATAGTAAAATTTGAATCTTCTGTAATATCTTTCTTGGATTTATGAATCTGATGCTTCTTTATTTATTATTTTCGAATAAATATAATTTTGAAATATTAATGGGAGAAGATAAATATTTTATTCTATTATGAGATTTATCGATATCGATTATCATAAAATTTTCGTACAAGCGTAATTCGGATCGCTTGAAAGACTTGACGAAATTGTATTTTTTTCCCAGGAAAAAAGAAGAAGCATTAAAAAAAATAGCAAACGTAAAGTTCAATTAACAATTTTATATGCAAACTAACAGTATGATGTTGTAATAAATCCATCTTGAGTTGAAATTTTCATTATGCATGCCTGAATTTGAGCATCTAATTTGATGTTTTCTAACAGATGATCCACGTATCGGATATTCTGATTCATAGGAACCGGCACAGATGTTACCACGTGACATCTGAATTGTAAAAGAACATGGTTATTAAGCCGGAATTTTGTCTGCCTCATTGGGAAAACATCTGTAGGATAATTTATGAAGCCCTCATCTATCAAAGATTTTATTGAAATATTAATGTTTCCTTGCAAATATTGCCAGAATGTAATTTTAATTGGTATTTCTGGCTTTTCGCAAGAACAGTATTATTTTAAATCATTAAAGACATCGAGAGGAATTAATTGTATTATCGATAGTTGTTCAAGTCAATATATTACTGTGGACGAAAAGTTTGTGAAATGATCTTTGTTCTTCTCTATATCGGAAAGATTGCAGTAATTTTTTTCTATTGAATCGTGCAACTGATATTATCCTTTACTATTAGTTCAAGTTTTACGACGTATCTATTTTGCTTCACTTGCAGAGACAGTTTTATTAGTAACAATAATATTCAATAGTTTAATCGCTTCTGAAACACGTTCTTTCTTTATTTTCAAAAGGCCATGACATTCTGTTTTAACTGACAATCCATTAAAACTTGCACACGAACCATAAATAATATGACCATAAAATTTGAATAATAAAAGATCCATGAATCCAATAAATCATAGAATGTTTTTGTTAATTTTTTATCCATAATAATATTCGATTACTAATAGTAGATTTATAATAGTAATAAATTTAATATAATTTCCATTCGTTCTATTTCTACCCTCTTATCGATAATATTTAATGCGGAACGACAAATGGATTGCATATTCATATTTCATGCTACTCGGGCGCAAGTAGTACAGCCATGTAACTAGTCAGTCATCAGAATACGCGATGCAAGCCTCGACCTAAACTTTATCGTGCAAGGTCGAAGGGGAAAAGGTAAGAATCTAAGGATGAAAAGGATGAAAAGGAAGAGAATTTTTTGCCATAAAAAGGGATAAGCTTTGCGCCTCGAGGCTTCAAGGTTGAGGATGGCTCGAGGCGAATCCGTGTTTCGCGCGATTAATCATTAGTGAGGAACAAATAGACGGTGAATTTCGAAGATTGCCGGTTCGTAAAATATGCAAATATGCAATCTGTTCATGATAAAAGAAACCGCCTTAACCCAGAAACCAAGTGAGGTCGGGTAAGTGGATCGTCTTGAAGGAAAGACGTCATTGGCGGTGTTCCGTGTTCTGATTTCCTTATAAAAAATACATTCGCTGTTTTCCTAGATGAACGCTTGGTTGACGAGTCTTTGTCGATGATTTTCAATGAAAGCCAAAGATGGCGTGATTATAAGAGGATGTACTTTTTTGATTTTAATTCGAGATACGAGTAAAAGTTTTTTTTTAATCCTCCTGTGTATAATAATTCGTTTAGATAAAAGTTTAGAAGTCATTTAGAAAAGTTTAGATTAAATTTTATAATTGAATTAAATAAAAAGAAATAATTAAAATAAAAGAGAAAGGAGACAGGATAGAATAAGGAAATGTTAATTCTTATCAAGTATCTCCTCCTTTCATCTCGTTACTTAAACTTGAAATTACTTGAGACATTAACAATGTACATTAGAGAACATCGTTGAAATTAAGATCTTCTCTCTGTATAATTATCAGCGATACGTATAAAAATTTCATTTGTAATTACAGAAAATCCTAATGGCTTCCCGTTCCCGATAAATTTCGATTTTCTGTATGACTTCTCGAACATTGATAGTTGGTGAGTCAGTACTACATGTTTTCAAGCGAGAAATTTCCCTTTTGCCCACAGAGAGCGGATCTGGCCGTCGCATCCATGACGATCAATTACGCTCGGGAGAGCGTGATAGATTTCACCAAGCCATTCATGAATCTCGGTATCGGAATTCTGTTTAAGGTGAGTCTCTGTATGTGCATTCGATAGTGATAAGCTAACTCGTAACTTCCATTCATCACGCGAAATAGTGTTGAGCCCTCTCGAGAATCTCGTCTTAACGTATATTCGAGTTTGCGTGAATGCTTTGCAAAAATTCAAAAAAATAATATTTTCTCGTGATTCGATTCTCAAAGATTAACGAAAACCTAAAAAAAATAAAAAAAAATATTAGATAAATTCTATATATTAGAATTTTGTAATATTGTACCATTCGTTGAGTTTTTACAAATTCTATTTTCAAAGTATTGAAGAGAACTTATTTTTTAAAATATCAAAAAGTGATCAAACCATTTTTCAGCCCGGTGATACCATCCAACAATCAAAACCAACCATCGATCACTTTACTTTACCTAAATTGAAATTTCCAATTCTCCCTGAAGCAACAGGAACTCGTTGAATAGAAATAAATAGCTTATTAAAATTTGTAGAATTTACTGAACGATCGTCGAATTAACATTTCCATCCCACGATATTGGACCGATCGAAACGAGATTCTCTGGATTAATCGATCGCCATAGAACGTTGGCCACAGAAAAGGGCCGTCATTCTGGCGGGAAAGCGGCACGAGATCCGTTTTAATTAAAATCGTAGCGTAACGTAATTTAGGTGCCCTCCAGCCAGCCAACGCGGTTGTTCTCCTTCATGAACCCGTTGGCCGTTGAGATCTGGCTGTACGTGCTGGCCGCGTACATGCTTGTGAGCTTCACCCTCTTCGTTATGGCTCGATTCAGCCCGTACGAGTGGAACAATCCACACCCGTGCCTGGGGGAGAGCGACATCGTCGAGAACCAGTTTAGCGTCAGCAACAGCTTCTGGTTTATTACCGGCACGTTCCTCAGGCAGGGCAGCGGGCTCAACCCCAAGGTACACTCAACGAGGTGCTCCGCCACTGGACTATTTCTGCCGTTCAATTTCAGTCGTCGTGTCACGATCCAAAAATCCTTAAATCCTGATCCTTATCTCGACCCTTTCGACTCTTCACGAGAGGAGAGTTTTTGAATTTTTAGAGATCTCCTTGGAGTCGACTCTTTCGATTCTTGTGCAGTGAATACTTGTGATTTTTTGTAACACAATATGTATCTTGTGTTATTTTGTTTTTCTTTTTTTGAGTAAATCTGAGAGATATAATCTTAGTTATAAATTATAGGTTTGGTTTAATATTTATTCTTAAATGAAAAAAAAAAGACAAATTTAATTGAGGAAACTTGAAAGGGTTGAAAGGGTTAATATTTAATTCATAAACGTTTCTCTGGACTTTATACAAGATGCCTGAGAAAGATAGAGGATGATTTTATATGTAAAAATAAAATCAAATGAAATTTTTTCATTTAAGATCTCATTTATTGAAATTTTTCAAGTAGAAATGAGTTTGGCAAATTTTCAATCGGAGAATACAGGAGCGGAAAATGTAGAATAAAATTTTTTCATTTAAAATCTAATATTCGAGAAAATTGAATTTAGAAATTCATCAAATACAAGACTGCACGTACTGCACGCATATCGAATTTCGATTATCTCGAAAATCGAACGGGGACGATAAAATTTTATTCTACGAAATTATTTTCGGATTTAAATTTTTTTTTACACATAGAATCACTCTCCGTTTATCATCCCGTTTCTAAGACACTTTACGCAAAGAACTCTATCCTCTATTTCCTTTCAACGTTCTTCGAAAATCGTAAGCAGAATAAAATAAAAAATCGTACAAAAGAAAAAAGAAATCAGAAGCTGTCGCGTCTGGAAACAGATTGTCGTCGCCGTAGTCCCACTGATCGCAATCTCAATTCGTAACAATCGACGCGAGATGAACCGCGAATCGCGAGTTCCAAATCCTTCGGTATCGCAACCCAAAACGCGATGATTCGCGTTCCACTTTTATCCGATGGCTGAAACCACCAAAAGAAAAAAGAGAGGAAACGAAAGGATAAAGGAACTCGTCTAACGGTTGAACTTCAACGCTGTGTACTACTGAAACCGGCTATTGTGCTCGGTGGCTCCTGACAGGCCGAAGAATAGACTACGGAATCCGTGATTTCAACGAGAGATAAAGGATCCGTCTTGCGCGCGCCATTCACAAAACTGGCAAAGGAAAGCACGAAACTGTTATCCTCGGGAAGTTGATTTGCGTGGAAAAAAGGGAAAGAGAGAGAGAGAGAGAAAGAAAGGGTGGGGAAAAAAGCGAGGGAAATGGGGAGAAATTCGGTGGAGAAGAAAATGGATTGGGTTTTTTCCTGGCGAAAAATCGGGAGAGATTTAGGGGATTAGTAATCCGGAAATACGTGTAATTGCTGCAGGTTTCCGCTCGAACGCCGTCGAGGCTGTTCTCGTTCATGAATCCTCTCGCCGTGGAGATTTGGTTATCCATGCTGGGCGCTTACGTGATGGTCTCCCTAACGATTTGGATAGTGGCGAGGTTCTCGCCTTACGAGTGGGTGGAACCTACACCCTGTCCGAGCTGCAAATGTCCGCTACAGGTAGGCTCTCGTCAGGTGGTGCCTAATCGATCGTGCAATTGAATTCTTGACACGGTGAAAAGGTGTCGTGAACGATATCGACACGGCTCACGCTTTCGATTGTTTTTTTTTTTAAATTACTTGCGAAAAGTTATTTTCAATTTTTTAAAAATTGAACACAAAACCGAGACAAAAATTGTACTCAATTTTTTGCAAATATTCGCGATCGTTTCGCGATTATCGTTAAAAATAAATCGATACTGCGATAAGAGAATTGAAAATGTTTAAATTGCGAAAGATTCGCGAAATATTCACGATCCTTGGACCCGCATTGTTAATAATTGGGCTAGCTACATACGGATAGCTTGTGTAATTGTCCTTGAAATTTCGCACCACTTGGCGGGGGTCCCAATGTGATCAGGGTGGTCACGTGAGCGCGTTGGATCCTGACAGCGACGACATTCCTCTGCTGAGGACGGTCAACGAGTTCACCCTGGCCAACAGCTTCTGGTTTACGGTCGGCACGCTTATGCAACAGGGCAGCGACCTCAACCCCAAGGTAAACGTGTCATCACAGAGTCCGGCAGCCAATTACTTAAACGAGTGATGCGCTTCGAAGCTTACAATGTTTGGAAACTCGTTGGACATCTGTCGCAATTTCGTGAATATATATGTATATAGGGGGAGAAATCGTAAAATATACAAATTTTACACGGGAACAATTTAATGATAATATCGAAAATCAACGAATGAAAATATTCAGAATGATTGATTGTTAAAATGCGGACAGATGAATATATTATGTTTTTCTTTTCTGTCGATTTGCATCATATATTAATATTATAAACAAATCTAATCCTGAATAAAATTTTGTAAAAATTCTGAATAGCACATTCGTATCTTATCTGTAAATATATGTATTCCATTATGTTTGAAAAATTTATTTTAACATGCAAATTAAATTTTTCGATAAACGAAGCCAATTTCATCAGGAAACTTTAAACAAATTTTTATTATACATTTAAATAAATAATTTTGGCATATTTTTCTATATGCCAATTTCAATATTTTAATATTTTTTAAACTCATAGAAACTCACGATCTGATGATTTTATTAAATCTATAAATATTCGAGATTGATTTTTAATTTAAAATCAAATAAGTTACAACGTCTCTTTCGAGGAAAGACTAATGATATTACGAATCTATAAAGTAATTTATGTCACAGTAACGACATTATCCAAAGTAAGGATGATCGTTTTAAACGAACTCGTGAAATTCATGGTATTGTCATAAAGTGTGATAGACTCGTAACTATGGATTGATCGTGGAAAATCTAATCCATTTTATTTGCAAAACGATTACATTTCTTTTTATTATTCTATAAAGAAGATTTCAAGATTGTTGTCTAACTTAAAAACAAGTTACGAAATCCGATGGAAAACAGAGAGTTTGGAATTTCGATATTTCATTAATTTTTCGAGGATCTTCTCGAGAATTAGGAAAATAATCTCAGTTCCAAGAACTGTAGTACACGATTCAAATCGTAAAATGCGATGGATGAAAATCCAACGAGTTTCTATGTTCGAGAAAACGACTTATAAACCGTGGAAATCGTTTCAAGCACCATATGAGTACATCGTGCACTGAATCTGAAAAAATACAACAAGATGAGGAAATTTTACCAGATATGTTCGCTTAGATAATTCGCAGATAAAATTGAAGAATTTTCTATTGGTATTTGTCTGATATCCCTTCGAAATATCAAATTTCACGTGGAAAAATAAAAAGAAAAATATGCATCAGTCATTTTAAATATGCAGGATGTTTCGTTCGATGGAAAATATTTCAGGAAGCAATTCAGTACATAAAAACGAATAAAAAGAGGATAAACAAGTATATTTGTTTATTTAAAGGAATATTTATCTCATATATCAATATTTCCACTATTATCTTTTGATACTATTCAAATTTGCAGACACATTTTTTTACCAAAATATTTCATCGTATTTAACATTTATCTTTCGATATTTTCAATATTGTCATCTCTCAAATTCTCAACACAACGATATATCGCGAAGATGTAATATAACAAAAAAAAATAATACTTTAAAAATATCGTGCAATATTTGTTCTCATTTTTCTTCACTATACACGTTCCTGAAATATTTCCCTTTCGTCACATCCCTGTATCTCTCCAAATATCGAAACAAAATCTTACGTAGACGAAAGATCTTCATCGAGTAGCATAGAATAGAATAGCATCGCCACTCTCAAATCAAATTAATTGCATTATAGATAAATCTCGATAGACAGAGAACGATATCGAGAGATCGCATGTCACCCCTGCATGCACATGACAAAAGCCAAACACCTTTGCATTTCATTCGTCTCATTTTCGTCACATCTCTTCGATTTCTCTTCTCAAACAACCAAAAGCATCCATTTACAATCCGATTTCCAAAAGAACTTTTCCAAAAGATTGACTTGCGCGCTTCACAAGAAGCGTTCACAATCGGCACGAAACTTTTTTACATCGAGCTACGTGCAACTATGATGGCGTAAAATTCAACTCGACAAAACTTCTTTTGCTCGAGATTTTTCCCGTGTGCTCGAAAAATCTTCGTGAAGATTTCGCGAAACAAATTCTCGTGGAATCTTCTGTCTCGTTTCTATCTCGTGCACGAAATCTTGTTACATCAACAAGATGCGTAAATAGAGATAGAACGATCCGAAAAACAAAATCCCTCTGTTTTATATTCGCCGCCGTTGCGGACGGCCGGAAATTGTGCCCATTTAACGCGTTACTACCTCGTCCGGCGATAAAAATAAACCAGGACACAAATGAAACTGCATGTAATCGGAATTTATGAAGTTACACTCTGTAAGGTTGAAATGCTTTATAGGGCGTAAATTGAAAATTTCATTCGATGCAATAAAGATATGTATGATTTATGATGCGGTGCACATCGCATTCAATGGACATCTGGTATAACAGAGTTATTCCAACGAAACAAATATACAGTTGTAATACAGTACACAGATTAATTTCACGAAATTCATTCTTCAGAGCGCAGTCCATTCTCTCATTACTTTTCACGAGTAAAAAATTATAGGTTAATTGTTAATGCGCTTAGGAATTCACTTCAAATCTTCTTCGATTTCTTATTCTATTTTCCACATATGAAACTGTAAGCAAATAATTTTCAAATTATATTCGTGTAAGTTAGAGTCTTTTTTTATTATTATTTTTATTATTATCTTTCACAAATATTATACATTTTACAACTTCTTTGATTTTCAATTCCTATTTTTCACTGAAACTATAAAGAAGGAGAATTTCGTTCTTTAATTAATATATTTATCATAAACTTTTCTTATGTTTAACAACAGACAATAAGTATTAATGTTTTGTTACGAGAATATACCTGTACGACATATGGTGGTAGCCGGCTCTGATGGCATGTGTGTACATGCGGGGTTGTCGTTGCGAAATTCGCAAAGAATGGCGATTCTACGACTCGAAGAATCCCAGATATCCGCGTAAAGAGCTGGGGATTCGAGAGTGCTGTGAAAATACAGAGAGAGAGAGAGAGAAAATCGCGAGGAAACGAGGGTTGCGCAAAAATATCGCTTGAAACTTATCGTTCGAGAGAGATTTTCCGGGTCGTATCGGGCTATGATACACGCGCGAAAAAGGAAATAGAGCAACATAATCCTCGATTCGTGGCATATTTGCTTTGACACGAGAGTCTGACGATATGAACAAATATCAAAGAGACGGGCAATTCCTTTTCTGCAGTAGCACACTGAAAGCATAAATATGTATACAATTAATTCTAAAATTGGATTTTTCTTCTTAGAAGAAAAGAATTAAGAGTAAAGAGTAATAAGAGCCAGTTGAAAAAGTATCGATATCTTATAACGAAATTTATTCGAAATATGAAAATTCTAATTTTAATAAAAATCTGTGTATACATTAATCATAATAGATTATGCATTAATATTGCATTCGTAAAGTCTTTTTGCAATAGAATTTTATATTATAAATCATTATATTCTATATACGCATATAAAATTTCATTAAAAAGAGAATTTTCATTGATTTTTAATAACAATCGCGTTAAATTACGTATGAAGATTTTTTTCTTTTTATTCATAAAATATATCAAGATATGTCAAATCTCTTGTATCCTTATTTCATTATTCTTCTCGCGATAACGTCAAAGGTATTCATAAATATATCGTTGGAAACGTTTCGCCTCCTCGAGACTGTACCACTCAACGTCTGAGAAAATGGTATTTTATCATCCACTCGTAGGATGTATGGCAATTTGAACAACGCCATTCGTTTCGTGGATAAAGAGAGGGATGATGAAATTATTCGGAAATGTCTCGAGCCGATAATCGCTTCCGTGATCGACTTGCTTCCACGGCTAATGGGTCGAAATATGCCATTAACGGGTTGAAGGGTAGGGTGCAAATGAGACCGCATATTGCATTCTTTGGGCGGAACGTAGTGGAGGTGCTCTTAAATCGTCTCCCGACCTCGATGCTCCACTGACGCGGTTTCAATTGATCGTCGAGGCTTTTCGTGGGCTTCCAACCACGAAGATGCGATATCAGGTCGATATTCGCGAAGAAAACTGACGTGAACCTTTTTTGATAGTATACTTGATCCTCTTGATTATATCATGTTACGTTCCATGAATTTTTAATACTTTATTCGTATCGTTTTACTATATCTGAAACAATACAAAATATGTTTTAGGAAAAATGTTTTTAACAAAAGTTAATGGTTTTAATCGTTTTTTTGCGGATAGATATGTAGAGATTATACGAAGGTAGCTTTTCCTCTCTTTGGATCATGTAATTTTTAATACACAATGCATATAACAATTATCTAATATTCGTGAAAATTTTAGAAAATAATATCCTGTAAATATTAAACAAAATTCAGGAATAAAGCTCGTTTCGAATAAAAATGAAGAAAATTCTAATTTTCATCAGATCGAACGATCTTTGAGAAGGAATTGCTCGTTAAAGTGTTAAAGTATCGTTTTCCTTTAATGAAAAGGTATCCGTCGTAATTATCAGGCAACAAGCACGAGAATAGTTGGTGGAATCTGGTGGTTCTTCACATTGATCATCATCTCATCTTACACGGCAAATCTGGCTGCGTTCCTCACCGTCGAGAGAATGATCACGCCGATCGAGAACGCAGCTGATCTCGCTGAACAAACGCAAATTTCGTATGGAACGTTAGAGGGTGGAAGTACAATGACGTTTTTCAGGGTAAGTACCTGAAATTTTATTAAACTGTTTAATATATACGATCGATAATACATTGTCAATACTTTTTAATTACGATTCAATATTATATCTGGATGACTACAATAAAAATTATAGGATTTAGAATATGATTAATATTATCTTAGAGGAAACGTGTTAGAAAAGCTGCAATCTGGACGGTGAAGCAAAATAATAAAACTTTTTGTGTTAAAACTTGGTTAAGTTGAAAAAGTTAATCTCGAAAAATGGTGTAATACTCTATGTGTACAAACTAAGAATATTTTCAGGATATTTCTTTTTAGAGAAAATACTGAATAAAGTAAAAAAATTTGAAGTTATTTTAAACTTGTACATTTCATTAGGAATTAGAGTATATATTTTATAATAATTATCAAATTAAACTATCAAATTGAAGTACACAGATATTATTAAATTCAAAGAATGCATAATATTAAAAAAGATCTGTATTTCCATTTCTTTGAATTAATCTCTATTCTTCGAACTAATAAAACAATAAGTTACTCGATTAAAAAATTTTAAAATAAGAATATGAGATTAAAACCATTAATAACTAGCACGATAAAATTATTTTCTGTTTACAACATAATGAATAAACTAATCCACTTTGGACCTCAATCACTTTTGATTGAACATATAGATCCAAATTTATTAATATTAATTAACGTTTTGATATTGCGTGACCATTGACAGTCATTTTATTAAACACGATAATTTTCATTCGCATTCGATTCATGTCTTACGAATAATTCTCCTGCTGAGCAGGGGATCCTGCGCGCGAAATATTAAAACCATAAAGCTACGTAATCCGGGACAAATTCGGCTAATTATCACAGTTTTCATATCGAAAGGTATCGAAATCCGTTGAATGTCTACCATTTAATGCGGACTTTTAACGTTATTAAATTTTGGAACGGCATTTCACCAATGTTCAGGTATTCCTGTAATATTAATACCGCGTTATTGAAACAACATTTCGCACCCCATCCCCGCTATTACAGATTTATTCTCAGAACGAGGTGGAGTTCGTTATTGCTGAACTCGTTCCAACCAGTTTACGAACAATTGGAAACTGGAGGAAAATTCGAGAGTGCACCCTTTGTTCTCTCCTCACTGTTTCTCGCGTGAATTTACAACAATCCGATTGAAAAATATATAAATATAATATGAATATATACCTGAACGAAGGAGACTGATTATTGTGATTCTGTGTTTGATTAATTCAAACGAAATTAAATTCCTTTTGATCGATTTCAATTTAAATTCGAGTTTGATCGATTGTTACAAAATGATGAAAAGGAACGAATATATTACAGAAAATGCGGATTGCATTGTTTCAAAGGTCTTCGATAATCGATGAAATTTGTAACTAGTTATGTATAATCGGAAAATATGATATATAATATGATTAAAATATTTTTTTCTTCAAAGTAATTCCATCACTTTTTTTTTATCTAAATAAAAGATATTTTTTTCTTGAATTCTAAAAAGTGTATTAACGCGATAGGACTCGAAGATCGGTATATACAAGAAGATGTGGGAGTTCATGGAGTCGAAATCGCCCTCGGTTTTCGTGAAAAGTTACGAAGATGGGGTGAAGAGGGTGCTCGAGGGTGACTACGCTTTCCTGATGGAGTCGACAATGCTCGATTATGCTGTACAACGAGATTGCAATCTCACGCAAATCGGGGGCCTGTTGGACAGCAAAGGCTATGGAATTGCCACTCCGAAAGGTAATTTCGAATAACAATTGGTATCTGTTCCCATTGTTCTATCCTTTCCATTTACCTTTTTCTGTTAAGATAGAAATCCATTTAAGAGTATCTCCTTCGCAAATGAAAGATTGAAAAACACTTGCAGATCTCTAGAGATCTCTTACTCTTTTCTATCATAATAATTATTCAATTCAAGATTATTTCAACTTATTGAAATTTTATCTTAATTTTATCTTTTTTGTCTTAACATCCGTTCATTCATTTTATCAAATTCGCAACAATAAGTTTTATTTCATTCAAATATAAAATCGCGAAATTTTCCCATTGCACTCGTGATACATGCACTGTGAATAAATTTCTTCCAGATCGTATCGATCGATTGTTGGAGAGTATATCAAACGTTTCACCCTAGCGATATAACAGCCAGTTCGAGGCAACTCTAGCGCGTTTGCAAGGAAACTTCAGCCTCGAAATAAACGCATAAATATTGTTCACTGTTAATATTTCTTGCGAGGAGTTTGGAAACGCGAAAATTCGCGCGAGAATTTAGTGCCAAGAAGCGTGGAGCGGAGAAAGAAAAACGCGGAACTGTACGGCCGGCAAACATCATAAAGTTCGCGGATTTGTGGCTCATTTGGGGTTGAAATCGCGGAAGTCAGCTACGGAACGGGGGGGGAAAAAAAAAAGAAACACGGTATCCGTCGTTTTTCCTCGTGAATTCGAGCGAACTTCTTCGCTTCCGTGGTCCTCCAATGTAGAAGCTTAATTAACGAGTCGGAGACGACACCGAAGCGAGAAGTTTTAAATCCGCGTAATTCGGCTTCTTTCTTGACGGGCAAGAACGAGATGAAAGTTTAGAGAGAGTTATAGCCGGAGGTTGGAGACCGAGCAATTTTCTTAATTGGACTAACGTGTCTGTGTTTCAACTTCCACTTTCGACCTCTATACACTGATGACGCGATTGTTTCTAACAACGAAGTCGAATAATCGAAATTTCATGCCAAAAATTATTGCCATAATGCTCGATTAATACGTACGTTGTCGAGACATTGTCAACGTAGAGTAATTTACGTATCGACAATATTTAAAAACGTTTTAGTTAATCATAATTTTGTGTAGAATTGATATATTAAAAGTTTGAACTAGCTCCTTGATTTTCACTATTCAATTTTTGACATTATTTTATTATTCTATTTTAATTTTTTCGTGGAAAACGAGCATTATATCGATCAAAATTTAATTTTTAATTTTTAATCAGATGGAAAACAAAGTGGATAACGAAAATCAAACAATGTGAAAAAATTATTAAGAATAGAAATGATATTAATATTTTTTCCAGCAGCAGTAAACATTACACGATCGTTGTTGTGTCTATCTTTTTGATATTCGTCATAGCGTTATTGTAAGACAGAAGCGGATGGATGTCACGTAACCCCTTCTATATTTTACAACGAATGTTAAAAAAATGGACGTAACGAACGTAACATTCATTTTTTTTGACGTTCGTGTGACGGCCTGTCGCACAATCAGAACTGGAACACGTCAGTTATTCTAGATGTTTTGAAGAATTATTGGTGGTTTCTTTCATTTGTTTTATTGGCTCGTGAAAAACAAGAGAGAAAAATATTTTTACATAGTTAGAAAACTATTAAATGCAATGACTGAAATCACGTATATATATTTCTTATTATTTTATTATGTGAAACAAAAAAGTTTAACGATATCAAATTAAATATACTTATAATAACCACGTTATATATCAACGAAAAATATACATGTTAAAAAAATCAATTTTAATTTATTATAGCCCAAGCATTGTTCTAATTAGTTTGAATCTTTTGATAAAGAAGATTACTTGTCCAAAATTATTTTATATTACATTTGACATATAATATCCTTTCTGTCACGCGCTGAAAATTGCCAAGTTTTTCGCGAGCATTGCAATGAAAACCAAGAATTTCTTTTTGCTCTGAGGCAAAGAGAGAGAGAAAGAGAGATGTTCAAATAACTGGGTCTTGTAAGACGCCTCGAGGATATAAAAAGGACGAGCAATTTCACCTTTTCTCGAGACGTTGCCCAGCAGAAGACGTAAAGCGTTTCAAAGACGAGAGATCGCAGGAATTCGTAACTTAACGAAGCCGTTTTATATGCAGGCTCGCCCTGGAGGGATAAAATATCTTTGGCGATTTTGGAGCTACAGGAGAAGGGTGTGATACAGATTCTGTACGATAAGTGGTGGAAGAATACCGGGGACGTGTGCAACAGGGACGAGAAGAGCAAGGAGAGTAAGGCGAATGCGTTGGGAGTTGAAAATATCGGTGAGCTCTCAATTTTTCTTTTATGGTCGATGAGAAGGATATCATTGTCCCTATCTAGTGTAAATTTATTACTAGATTGAAACATGATGGGAATCTTATCCAGGATAGACAAAGATTGGGTGAAGAATTTAAATTTTTACTTGATGATGGAAAAAATTTGTGATTCGTGATCTTTTTTTTCTCTCTTATGATAATGAGAAATAACTGACAATTTTGTTTGTAAATCATTGAACAATTAAAAATATATTTCAGAGAATGAACGTGATTGCAATACAATATTGATAGTTATTAATGATAATAGTATGTAGGTATGTAAGTATGTTTTAATCTATTTTAATTGTCAGTTATTTTAGGGGGAAGAGAAAAATTCTTTTTTATTAAAATTACCGAAAAACATAAATTTAATATTATTCTAACACGATTCATTATAATTTTATTCCACTACACAAATTTATTATTTATTCTTTTTCTTTAGATTTAGAAAAAGAAATCATTAAGTAAAGGATATCAAACAAATATTCAAAAATCTATAACTACGATATCAAAAAAAAAACAAATTCATAAATTAATGTTCATCATTATTAATATGCCCAATTTAAAATTTAAATGTACAATGCACGGAAATTTTCGTGATAAATAATTAATTTCGTTCAATAAATAAATACACGAAAGGATAATCTATTTTGAAATGACCCAAATAAATTTGGCGGGAATAAATTGATAATCCACGCAGCGTCAAGTGATGAATGTCGAAACAAAAATATAATTACTGGTAATAATATCAGAATATTGAATTATATATTTGATTTCTCTAGCCGAAATATAAAGATGATAATGATTTTCCGTGATATTCGTATATATTGGAAATCGAAATCGACCGCGGAAGAAGCGAGTGTGAATTTTCGAAATTTTGAAGGATTGAGTATCGTTGATCCAAATCATCATCATAATTACAACCCGTAATTTACGGGACGTAAACGAGGTCGATGGAACGTATGCAAGTGAAACAATGGCGTCGAAATCATTAAGTTCGTTCTGATCGTTCCCGCATCCCGCCCAGTGTGTAACTAACTTAATTTGGAGGCTTTGCCACGAACATGTCAAGTTACATAATGAACCATGGATGGTTTTCAATAACGGTTATAATGTTACATAATAGACAGTTTATCGAAATTGTACGAGTAAAATTGAAGAGATAACATCGATCGAAAGTGAAAGAACGAGACAAAGTTGAATCAAGTTTTAAAGAGTTGATTCTGGTCATCATGATGAAAAAAAAAAAAAATATAAACGAATTTTGAACGTGCATTATTTATTTTGAAGTTGCGAGCAATTTAATTTTGAAAAATTTTGAACTTACATCCAAACATTATAATTATATTGCATTGTTTTAGGAGCTCTCAACAAAAAAATAAAGTATATTACTTTAAATATGCGTTTCATTATATTGCAACATGCAAGTCAATTTGCTTAAATAATCTTGTAAATATATATAGTATATATTCATAAAGAAAAATATTCACAAGAATTATACAGAAAAAAAAAAGAAACACTCTTATAATAAATTTAATTCATATACACTCACGAATTGCTTCACGCGATAAATATGGATAAAAAAAAATAACAAAGGATGACTTGAAATGCTTTCAAGCTCAAAGAAATCTTGCGAAAAGTTCGTGAAGAATTTTTCTTCGGGATGTCCCCTTTCGTTTTTATGGAAGTCACAACAAGTTTTCCCTTTTTACTTTTTTTCCTTTTTGGCTAAGAATAGTGTTTCTTTTCTCTCTCTTACTTCTTTTTTTTCTTTTACTTTTTGACGTCGACTTGCCTATAACTTAGGCAAGTATCAACTTTGCCAATAGTGCAAATGTACTCTCGAAAACGAGGAAAAGGACGAATAATTCTCGTGAAGTTCGAAAAATTGCAGATGAATTCGCTTTCCATTAAATTTGTCGATTATTTGCATGATAAAAGAATACAAGGAGAAACGAGAAAGAGACAAACATTCGGCTGCATTTAAAAATAAAAAATTTACACCTTATGCATATACAATATATATTGACAAGATTAAAATCAGAAATTCTGATTATATCAATTATTCATGAACATGAATACAAACATGATATTTTCGTCACCATAAACGAAAAAACATGCTAATACCTACGTGATAGAACGCTTATAAATTTTCGTAACAAAACATCTCCTTCTTTTCAAAGGAAAAGTTCCAAATTTAATTCCTTCTCGTTATTATAATCGCAACGGAAACGAGTTACACCATTTTTCATTCGAATGATTAATCTGGAAAATTATTCGAAGCAGTCACGCCGAGCAATGCAATTCGTCGAGTAAACAATTTTCCTCTCGATCGTTCCATTACAAAATCGCAATTCTCGGGGCAAGTATTCGGTCCATGCCGGAAACTCGACGACTTTTCGACGAAGGCAAAAGTTGCCAACGCGAAACGCGCGAATCGTAAACGCGCAATGGCCGGATGCTAAGATGTTGGCATTGTTTCTCGTTTCACTGGGAAATTAGTCGCGATGACAGGGGGTGGGCTGGTATGAAAATGGTGGAGCATGCGAGAAACTTCTCTCCTTCCGGTGAAATGTCGTTTAAATCACAGTGTCGGTGCAGTTATGCAAATGCGAGCCCGTATATTGATTCCGATGAAGGAAGGCACTGCTTCTTGTTTAGCATAGAGATGAAGTTACATCATAAACATCGACGAGATTACGTTAAATCGGCGTTTATTCCGCGTGATATATGGCCTTTACTGGATTTGGATGCTTGAACTTGTGATCATTTCCTCGAGAATACGGTGAATTTCTTATCTTTCGTGGGAAATGGAGAAAATTTGTGTAAAAAAGTGAGTGGAAAATTTGGAAAAATAAAGGAATTAAAAATATTGTTGGGTAAAAATTTTACAAGAGAAAGGATCCAATTTAAATTTAACGATTTAAAAATGCAATTTTCTTTTTAATTCTTTTTTATATTAATTTTATATCAAAAAATACGGAATAATAATTATTTATTACGTTTCTTTAATTTATATATTTCTAAATTTTAAAAATTGTGAACTTTAAATACTTTCATAGTTTTTTTTATTAACAAGTATGCAACAAAATTCGCCCCAGAATTTGCATTAATCCAAGTACATCGTGAGAAGGTTAAGGAAAGGAATTTTAATGGAAAATCGTTTCACGCAACTTGGAACCGCGAAGCGATGCAACATTCGAGTAAACAAAGATCGCGATACTCCGAGCAAACGATTAAACAAAAAGTTTCACGAGTCGATTCGGAAACAAACAAACGTAGCTCGCCTACGATACGAAAAGTTTTAAAGCATACGTAGTAGACGGATCTCCAGTTTCACTATCGCAAGAAAAAAAAAAAAAAAAGAAAGATTCCTATAAACTAGAAGGGAAGCGAAAACTTTTCATAAAACTGGCTAATGCGATAACGAGCGATTTTATCGAATCGAAGGGACCCTCGATAGATTTACTTCTCTAGCTTGAGTGTAAAGAGATATTACCTCCTTATATTCGACATCGTTTCCACGACGAACGTAAAAATTCGCGAAAGAATGTTTTTCACGGTGGATAGAAGGACTTCGTAATTTGTCGAGGATAGGATAAAGTTTTTGGCGAGGAAACTTGCCGAGGATCCAATATCGAGACGATGTGCAGCCGAGCAAAGTGTGCGAAATGATCGGCACGAAGAATAAATTTCAACGGAGGTATTCTTATCTTCGCAGTAAAAGATATAATGTACAATGAGCGAAGCAAAGTAATAACTCACAAGAAACAACATCCTTCACAGCGTAACCGATTAATCATTCCAAATTACTCGATTACGATATTTTTCCATCTCTTTGTCAGAATTTTTCCATTCGATTGTAATTATCGATCGTAATATACCTTCTTTCCAATCTTCCTTTTTTCCTCTTCTTCTTTTCAAATTTCCATCGGAAGGGATAGCGAGGGAGAAGGAAAAAAAGACTGGAGAAGACAAAGAAGAAGTGGGACGAGGGGAGAAGACGAGTATAAATAAATGACGTCGTATAGACGGGAAGCTAGACAGATGGATAGATAAATAGATAAATAGACAGGCGTGGAGGGGTGTGACTGAGGTGTTAGAGGGTGATAGATGGGCGTACGGATCCTGGGTGAAATTCAGTGACAGGTACATTAACCGTGAAGCATGCGCGGGGGGTAGCGAGAAGGAGCAGAGACAGCCGGAGGCGGTAAAATAATGAGCTTCCGGTTTTTCCCGTTCCAGGTGGTGTCTTTGTCGTGCTGGTTTGCGGCCTGGCTCTGGCCATCCTCGTCGCAGTCCTCGAATTCTGCTGGAACTCGAAGAAGAACGCCCAATCGGACAGGGTAAGCATCGAGATAATTGCGCTCGCGATTCTGTGCTTCGCGTGTATGTGTTGCATGAATGTATCCTCCTCTTCGGTGCAAGGCCGTCTCACTTTGCTGCTTTTTCTCGATCGTCTCTTCGTCGGCTATTCGTGCATAGTATATCTAGTATATACTAGTATGTATTATATATCTTTTGGTCGAAAAAACAATTGCATGTTGTTAATAACGATTATCGATTGTTCCGCTCTTTGATCTCGTAAATTTTTGATGGAATTGGTCATTTGTTGAGAAAAGAAAAATGGAAAACGAAAAATTTCATTTATTTTGATCAGGAACGCGGTATAGCCGACCACACGATCTGACACACGCGTTCTCGTTCTACTTGTTTGATTTAACGCGATATTGATATTAGTTAAATATCGACAAACAGCATTCATATCAATCTGTCCAATGCATTTGTAAACAGATGAAGCATACCAAGCGTCATACATTGCAATTTTGGAAACCATATCATATAACCCATGCGAATTGTTGGTGAACGATCATGATACGCGAGAGCGTGTGTTTAATGTAATGAATTTTTATGTCACGTGGTAGAAAAGCTTTGGAGACTTTAGAGGCATCTTGTAATTTTATATTTTATAAACTCATACGTGAGGTATGATAATATGAATGTTATAATTAAAAAAACATTTAATTCTCACGGATATAACTTGGTGAATTATTATCATTATTTATTACTAATTAAAAATCAGAAATATTCTTTTATTCTTTATTATTATTAGTTCCAATTTCAAACACCAAATTTCATATTATCATCTCCTCTTCCATTATTTCTTAATGTAGATCAAAAATTATCCTCATCCCCTAAGATAAACGAAAATCTTTTGCTTCACTTCAAAATTAAATTCCATAAAATTCATTTCTATTCATTTCCATGATCCACCTTGTATTTAAGGATACATTTCCAATTAATCATCATTCACACACACACACACATATATTTTCCTAAAGTATCTTCTTCCCGATGGAATAATTCCACCCCCAACCCCATTACCATTAATCCATCCTGTAAATAGAAATTAAAGACCACCCATAACCACAATTCATGGCGACCAGCATTCACCACGAGGAAACGGCCTGGCACGCGAGAGGAATTGCATGGTATCGAGCTTGTGGTGCGATCGTTTTTCTGTATCATTTGTTGGTATTGTTGTGCCTGCTCTGCCGGTCCCCGTCCACGCATCGGCGGCGAAACGAAAAACGAAACAAACTAAAAAAAAAAAAAAACACACACACACACACACAAAATCGTGGATGGCAGTCCCTGTGCGCCGAGATGGCCTCGGAATTGCGGTTCGCCATGCGGTGCGGCTCGCGGCAAAGACCAGCCGCGAAGGCGCGCAATTCCGACGCCGCGGTGCCGTGCGACCGTTGCAGCCCGCGTGCCACGAGGAGGAGAACGCGATATTGTTCCACCGGCCACGAAGAGACCACCTACATACCGAGCATCGAGATACCACGGTTAAATGGTGTAAGTCCTGTCCCTCACGACGGGCTCTCGACGATGGCCTCTCTTCGGATTCTTCCATTTTCTTTCTCCCTTCCCCCCTTTCTTTCATTCCCATTTTCTATTGTGTTGTTTCGAATGGTGTGTCTCGTGTCCAGGATGGTCGAAAAAAACTATTCATTTAGGGCGGCACATCGTGCTGAAAAAACTTTAGTAAATATAAGTGGAAAATTCTACGTTTCTTGAGATACAGTCATTTTTACACGTCACGAACGATTTATTGTTGATTTCTCCATATTTACTGTCTGTAAAAATGTTTTTCCAGAAAATGTTTAAAATGAATGGTTTTTTTTTGAACACTCTGTATCACCGTTACGGACACAGACAGTGTCGTTCCAATCCATTGTAAATTTGTCGATTTTACAAGAGGTTCTCGATGAGGAGCCATCGTTCGAACGCGGAGTTGTGCCAGTTTCACGGTAATTCAATCCTGAAGAGAATAACCTGTAACGAGGACACGAATCGTTATTAACGAACCTACTATCAATTCGATCGAACAATTTTTATAGTATTCGAATGACTCGATTACCGTGATCGAGGCACGGCCTCCATTGAGCCCTGCTAGCCTAGTGATCTTTGCATTTCTTTCATTAAGCCTCGAAATGCGAGAGAAAATACGACGATAGACAGAAAAAGTTCATATCGTTTTCATTTCTCTTTATCTAACACTTTGATATATTAAAAAATATTAATTAGATTGGACTTTGTTGTACACGAAATATTTATTTAATTCGTATTTCTCTCCCTTTCTCTCTTTCTTTCTTTTTACGTATAATTAACTATGTGTTTTGCATTTTACAGCTCAAGTGTATATTATAATAATCTATAAAAAGAGAGAGGGAAGGAGAAAGAGAGAAAGAGAGAGAGAAAGAGAGAGCACAAACACTGTTTAATTACAATTGGTACAGAATTCTTTCTCTCTCTCTCTCTCTCTCTCTCTCTCTCTCTCTCTCTCTCTCTCTCTGCTATAAACGCACGCTTACATTTAACGATAATCAGTTCGACATACGCGTTTTATGTACGTATACGTGTATAATACTTGATTGCATGCCTCGTACTGCTGTTGTACGACTGTAACACGATTCATGGACAACGACATCTCTTCAAAAGTTGTTTCGACGAACGTTTCGGCCACACACCGTTCATTGCCTCGTCTTGGATCGATCGTTCCACCGTGCATGCTTGAAAGTTTATCGAAGCTAAAGTGGAAGCTGAGTAAACGAACAACCGCGAGGGTTTTCAATTCGAAAAACGGAGTTATCTTGGTTTCGAGAAAGATGGAGAAATATTTTTGAACTAAACTTACGTGTCATCTTCTTCGAATTATTTTCAAAGCAAAGATAACTCTTGTTTTATATTGAGTGTATACACAATGTCTCATCTTATTTTTATATTTTCTCAGTAATGTTTCGGATAAGAATTGAACGGCGTCTTGAAGAAACGAGTATTCTTTTCATTCAATTTTGCTATTTGCGTAAATGACATTTCTTCGTACGAAAGTTTTATTTTTCTTTCTTCTTTTATTTCGCTTCTCTTACGAGAAAGAATATTCAACACGAATATATGAATATTCACGACACGATCACGCCAGTGCTAAGTAACTCGTAAAATTTGATTCCGAAAATTTAAAGATGCTTGATGGAGCGGCACGGTTGGATATCCTCCCTTCATACGGTTACATGGGCGAGAGAATAGAGTGTTCGTTAAACAATGATCGGGAAGAGAATGCAGCTGAACCGAAACGTCCTCGCGTGAATGGTGCTTCTGATCGTGGCGGAAGTGATTTTTCCAGTCCACGTCACATTCTCGCAAACTTTCCGTGAAACCGATATATGGGATATCCTCTTGAAAAACAAGCGAATTCCTTAATATTTCTTATTAAAATATATATGATCGAAAAATTAATCTTTCTTTTTTTCGTCTTTTTCAATTTTATTGCAAATTTTAATAACGAATCGTATATATATTCCACGCATATAGATTTAATAATTTGTGTATTATATTGAAATATCTTATTATTCTTCTTATTACGTTTGCATATTGTATAAAATGGCGATAAAATTCGTGAACGAGCGAATGTAACATTCGGATCTCGAATTGGGTAAATTTTTCTGTAAAAAATTAGAATAAAATTAAGCGAAATTTATATTAATATTCTTTCGCGGTTTACAATTTCGTATTTCGCAAAAAGGATACAAATTATACAAACTGCAAGACAAACTTCCGTTAATTATCTCCATCATCGAAGGATTTCAAAAGGTTTGATATTATTCAATTTAATTAACTCGAGATGAATTATGAATAATTATTACCGGACATTATAACATCAATGATCGACACAATTGTGCGTAGTATATAATAGTGTCATAATCATTTCGTTATAAATTTTCGATTTCGAAATAAAATTGCTCGAATTCGAGATGGATTTTCTCGAGATTCTCGTTATTCGAGTTTAATTTAAATGGAATTAGAGAGAATTATCGAGAGTTGACAAAGTTATGACTTCGAGGTATGATCGTGTATTTCTCCACCACTCGATTTCAAGAGAGAAAATGGTGGAGAGGCGAATGGAATGCATCAGTGTTGAATTCCGTTCCTTCCTCTTTTCGATACTTTAATCAGTGCCTCGACACGATGCTTGTCGATATTGCAATCCAGAAATGTTTATCGCAATCTTTCAAATCTCTCGGAAGCTCGATGATACTCGTCCTCTATGTCCTCGTTACAGTCCTTCCTGCAAATTCATTTCGACAGAGAGACGAACGAGTTTTCATAGTGAATGAATATAGATAGGCGCTTTTCGATTCGAGTTTATTTTTCGATCATTTCTTATGGATTTTTACGACTCGCAATTTATAAACGTATTACACGTAACTCAGTTTATCGTGGATGCAAATTTTGTATAATAGATTTGAATTATTGGATTTATTCATTTTTCCACTGTTATTAAATAAATTAAGAAATAATTTATCAAGCATAATTACTACGCTCGCAAATTCGTTTCAAACGTAACATTGTTGTGTATTTATGAATAAATAGATAAGCGTAAACTCCTATTAATTAAAGAAAATATCAGGCATGTGATCATACATAATGGGATGAATTAATGAGATCTCGTTATATATTTGTTCTCACACGGATTTACATAAATAATATTTTGCATAGATGAATGAAAATAGATACGTTTTCATCTCGATAATGACATTAATTTTGCTAAAAACAAAATCCGCATCCATTTTTATTAATTACGGAAACAAAACTGTTGCGTAAAAATTAATTACTCTGATATCTGTCTAACGAATGATTTCTCAAAAATTTCAGCGTTATTTCGAAATTGAAAACACCGGAAAAGTTAAAAGAGATTCGAGTCGAAAAATTCAGCGTGTCAAACCGTTCGGTCCACTCTTCGTCGAACAAATCGAAACGTTTCGATACACCGTGCTTCCGTTCGAAAAACGCGGAATTCTATCAAGCGAGCAGTGTGCATTTCGCACGGTTTGTTCCCTCGTCCAAAACCGCATCACCCTTCCTCCGAAAATGAAAAAGGAAAAAAAAAAAACAAGAAGGGAATCCATCATATATATATAGCTCGGAAAAAGTCCTTTTCCGATTTTTCATCAAATTTCCCCATCCTCGTACACATATTTCTATCGCAAATAAGTCTTTTTTTCGCGGAGTGGCAGCTGGACAATTGATCATTCGAATCGATATGAGAAGAGGAAATTCATAAATCCTGAATCGAGGGAAATTTAACAACGAGTTGATTGGAAGAAAACAGGGAAAAAAAGCATACACGGTAGTGGCTCGGATCCAGGAACGACGAGAATAAGTTCTTTATATCGAGGTATGGAACGGAATAGGCCATAAACTAGCGATATCTATAATAACTGTAGGCTCACATGAGGCGAGAGGTAAACTTCTTTACGAGCTTCTGAAAAAGTTTGGGACAAGTTTTAACGAGGCCTGGTAACTTTTAATAACTCGATCGGTTCGTACCAGGGGGGGTGTATGGGGTGTGGTAGCGAGAGGTGGTGACTTATCACCACCCCCGATATAGCTAACATCTGTGCCTCCTGTTTTCTCAGCAGGAGGGTGGAGCATTGTCGATGACGGAGATGAAGAAATCATTGAGCTTCGATCAAGTGGGAGCGGCCCGTGGCGGGAACACCTAGCACAGGCCTCATCCTCATCTTCATCCTCAGCAGCAGCAACAGCAACAACAACAACCGCCACCGTGCAAAGCCACGCCCACGCACACACGTCACACACACTGCCACTCACATTCACACAGCCACAGTCACAGCCATACGCACAAACACCAACCACCCCCACCGAGGCAGAGACGGGGCTCTTCAAGCATCGTCTTGGGTCAAGGTTAGTCACTCATCGTTCCATCGTAATAAATAGAATCGTCGAAAAGAACGATCTTTAAGCAAACAGAGATAGTGTCGCTAGTGTGATTCAAAGATTTCTTTAATCCAAAAAAATATCACTTACAAATAGGAAAAGGAAAATCTCTTTGATGTCCAGGAGGTGACCATCCTGAGAGTATTCTCTGGAGATTCGACTGCGACCTGGCAGGTGAGCCAGACGTGGTGATATCGCCGCCGCCACCGCCACCCCCACCCTCGGCGGCCGTATCGAGGACCACGACCCTTTGACCAATACTCGAAGAGGTGCCGACAGGTGTGCCCGTCCAAAAGGAGCTGCCTATCCAGACCTCGGCGGTGGTGAACGTAATCGACCAGAAGGAGACCTGCTTATAGCATATGTAGTCGCCGGGGCGGATGAGTTGGCCGCGAACCGGCCTACCCACTGCCATCGGCGACATCATGGTTGGATCATCGATCGGTCGGCTGTCCACGTGACGACACATAACAATTTAGAATTTCGTTTAGAGAAGAAGAATTGGCGACATGTGCCAAAAAAAAAAAAAATAAAATAAAATAAATAAATAAAATAAAATAAAATAAAATCGATCCGTCGTCGTGGATCGTATAGAGGAGATCGTCGTGTCGAGGACCATCGTTATCGAACGAGTAAAGACGTTGTAAAGATCGATATGGAACGAGCATCGATTACTTTTCAACGAACTACAGGGAAACGAATCAAGTTTACACGATGGATATCGTGAAGAACAGGGTGGTTTGTTACGAATAGAGTATTGTTCCATGTCATGGATCGTGGATGGATGCTCATCCGCCAATAAAACGGGATCGATCCGAAAAGCGTCATCGTGCGAACGAACGCGTTCCATCGTTCTGACGAAGTTGAATAGCAAATGAAACACCGCGTGCAACTCCAATCAATTTGGGCCGATCGTTCGCTCTTCGAGGCGAGGACTTTCGAGGCTGGGAAGTATATATATATATATCGAATAGGAGTAGTTGAACGGCCGATTCAATTGTCCGGGCTGATCGAAAGCGGCGAGTCCGATTTTCATGCTAAACATATCGAAATGGAGGCAGAGACGAAGTCGAGAGCATCGACGGGGAAAGGTTCTCGTTTGGCACGTTCGAAGAAGTAGAAGTAGTGGAGCGAGGAACAATGTTACGTCGATCAACGATACGTGTGATTAGACTCGGACCAAAACTCATAGTGATCACTGCCAACAGATAGCCTAATTTAGTCAAACGGTCTAGATACAGATGCATGGACTAAAAAAAAAAAAGGAGAAAGCTTTAATCCGTGCGCGTGGATGGATAATTCACGGCCTAAAGAAAAAAAAAATCTTGATTCGCTTATGCTCGATCCTTAGAGGAGCGAGTTGACCAACGAAGAAGTTTCGAAATTTCGATCGATACGATATTACCACGGAACATGCACAATGAAGCGCTATTTAATAAGAATGGAATACGAAGAATCGATTGGATTAGGTCGCAGCGTTTAGAGAGAGAGAGAAAGAGAAAAAAAGAAGAGTTTAGAATAGATAATGTAAAAAAACCTAGGACGGATGTCATCAAATCTATTCGACCAAACGATCAACACGATCGGAACGAGGATATCTAGGAAATAGTCGAAGATCAATCATCGTATTCAAATTTATCGTCTGATATGTACAATTTAAAAAAAAAAAAAAGAAAAAAGAAAAAAGAAAAAAAAAGAAACATCTAGAGCAAACCTCGAACGTCTCTTCTTAGAAGAGACGAAACGAATCACAGGAGGATGTAGTACAAACATTTCGAAATGCGTTACCTGATCGTTACGATTTTGCACCCTGACCTTTGTTTCCGCGCCGTTCACCAGTCGCCAGATGATGGACAGTCTGACCGCGCAGCGGACCAGAAATTTTTCACAACGCGTTTTATACAACAGGGGGATGAGAGGACTAGGAGCAAATTTTCACGAATGGATTTCTCGGTGTGCCTGCGGTCAGCCTCGAACGATCGAAGCCTGTAACGATCGATCGTGCGGGAAATATTAGATTAGAAAGAATCCCGCGAACGCGCGTACGCTCGAGGAATAAGTTCGTCGATTATGTATGGCGTTCTGTGTCATAAATAGACACGGTTGATAAAATGATCGATCGTGTTTGTTCATCGAATCGGTGGATACACTTCGGTGTAGATTCACAGGACGAATTGTATAAAAAAAATAAGACAAACGCGTATGGGCGCGTACACGAACGTACAATCTGTACGTCGGTGTACGCGAGCATACAAGCACCGTATTGTTAGTTTAAATAATATAATTCCATAAGGTAAGTGCGTAGCCGCGTAAGAGACTTTAGTCATATTTTGACACGATCGACAGTTTATTAATATATCGAGGCGATACGATTATGTACAGTTGACCGAAAATTTTTTCACCGAAAATTCGAACATCCGCCGCCTTCGTCGGGAAGGAAGTTTCTTGAGGGCGTTTTTAGTATTGCGCACCGCGTCGTACACGTACACATTACATACACACACACTCACACACAAACACATACATACACCGTGTACATACAAGAAGAGAACAATGTTCATAAGGAAGGAGAAGGGAGATCGCGTTGCTCGACGGTTTTATTAATGCGTTATTAACGATATAACGAGGAGAAAGGATGCGATTGATGGGTGTATGATTGATAGAATGCGTGATAAGAAAGAGGAGCGAATCGTGCCACGACAAAAGGGATTATTACGTTGTTGTAACGTGTTTTCGACGAGCTTTCCAATCGCGCGATTTACATACCTCCGTGTCAATTCGACGATGATGGGGATCAAGCATTTCCCAGCGATGAACACGCGATGACAAATATTGCGACGATTATTGTCGGAAATAAATGTCCTCGCTCGAATGGATGCTCGTAAATCGAAGATTGCGCAAATTAATTCGTAACTTTCGTTTCGTTGAAGATTCATCCACGATGAAGAATTCATTTTCAGAAGAGGCGGCAAGAAATTTTCAATGGTTGCTTGGAGATAATCGAGTTCCCGTATAATTGCATCGAGAAGAACCAGTTAATCCCGGTTGATAAATGAATTCTTCATTCCCTGTCGATTAATTAAGAGTGCCGCTCTTCCACGAGACACGTCGGTTCATCGAGAACCGTCTCGACGTTCGTCCTTCTTCCTCCTCCTTTTTTCTTTCTCGATCCCGAGGATATATATCCCTCTTCCGATAAATCGCAAAATCGGGCACGATTCGCCCAAACACATGACGTAGCGATCGTCGTAATTGCATATTTCGTTCGAGACGAGGAAATATTATTGCGACGGATGTTACGATGGATATGAAAAAAATTGGTTATGAAAAAAATTGATTCGAAGGAAGCGAGTTCAGTTTGAATACTTGTCGCGTCATCACTGGTGTGCCACTATTCAATAAATAAATTTTATTTACTTAATCGATCTTAGACGTTTCTACACTTAGGCATTAAGCAAAACGGCACGCATATGCACGTTCACTTCTTGTCGATCGAGGAGCTGACAGATTTCGTCGATCGATATTCAGATCCTTCCTCTCTTCCTTCCTCCCCTTCTCTCTTGAATCTCAGCTTCATGATCGCGTGAACGTGACGATAAATCGTCGAAACATATCTCTCAACCGAAGAAATAACGACAATTAAATAATTATAGTATATACACGTTTTAACGAATATCATTGAGACACGATATCTTTTTCTATTTCCACAGCGTCGAATTCATCCAATTCGCATATTCGAAACCAGATTATTAAACGATCCTCTTGCTTGTCCTCTTCAACTTGAGTTCGAATCGATCGTTGGAGAAAAGCACGATCTACGTGGATTCCCTTCCTTTCTTTTACAGCTATCGACGACGATGCACAACGAAATTCGTTTCTACGGCTGGAATTTCATCAGTTCGAAGGAAAGGAAGAAAAGGAGAGACATCATCGTGGATGAAATGATATTGCTCGTCGATCACGTCATCGACTTGTTCCTCGATATATATTCAGAGATCGATCTGACGTTGCTTTTGCCTTCAGCGACCACGATTTACCATTATCTCCGGTTACATGCAAATCACATTTCTCGCGCGAGACTATCGATGTTAACCGATCGATGAGTTTCGAGCGACTGAGACGGTCTACTTTAACGGCCGACTTTGTTTTCGTCTCGAGACATTATAAATTGACGGCGAATGTTGAATCGTAGAAACTTTGTTTCGTTTCGTTTCAAAATATTTATCTGTCGACTTGTTAAATTCCACGAAGCAAACAATAATAATTTCGAAATTGGAATACACCGTTCGAATATTCCCATGAAAAACTTTGTTTCGTTTCATCACTGAGATATTGTTTGAATAATAAACATCGAAGATTCGTAAAATTTTTCATACGTAATTTAATCAATGAATTATTTTACATTATATTTTTGAAAATTATTTCATAATTAACTTCAGTTCGCTAAATATTGGCTTCACTTTGTTCATTTGTTAAATATTAAAATTAAACGTTGTTTTTTATTGAAATGATAATTTCATTTTTTGCTAAGGAGTTGAATATAATTAAACTCCTGAATATATTTTTAATTATAAATTTTCACGCAATTAAAACGATAGCAATTTTCTAAGATCAATTTTTCTTAATCTGTTGAAACACGTGCATCATCCAAAAATTAATTTTATTTTTACGTATAAAGTGCACAGTGAGTTGTGCCAGATTTTTAAAAAAATTTACTATATTCTTTCTATTATTATAAAAGAATCTAATATTCGGACAAGAAAAATTCAATTAAAAAATTCATTTAATAAATGCTAAAAATTTCTTTCTTGTAAAGGGGATTCCACTGTGAGAAAATTAGTCTGAAATTACTCCACGTCGAATATAGGACGCTCCTATTTACAGCGCCCTTGCCTGTTAGTCCTTTCAAAGTCCGAGGCGGGAACTAAATTGTCACGACCAAGTGGCTGGCTTCCATCGTTGCATATTGAAAATTGCATTCATTTAACCGCGCCCAGTGTCAAAGGGAGCCCTTTAAAAATCTGACTCGTTCCTCGCGACGGAAATATGGAAGAGGAAATAAGAATCGGCCTCGGTTATAAGAGCCACGACCGATTTCCAATCGGCCCTTGCTCGTTAATTTTTCTGTATCGTTCTGGCATAAAATGAATCTTTTCTATTCCTTCTGCCCAGTAGACTCTTAATGGGGAACGGGGACGGATCGTCGAATGTTTTCTCTCGACTTGAATCGAGGAAACGAAGCTTCGTTCGAACTGA